CCTATGAACAACAGATCTGAACCCTGTCCTATCCTATGTCATCCTCACACTTCCTAACAAACTAGAGCCCTTTGAGACACTGTGTCAATCCACTTGGTTGAGAGTATTCCTCTCCTTCACTGACTGCCTGCCTTTCCAAGCATGATGTCCCTCTCCAAGGGATAATCCCTCCTAGCAGCATGCCTGAAGTATGTGAGGTGAAGTTTTATCATCTTTGCCTTGAAGGAGCACTCTGGCTATTTTTTCTCAGACATATCTGTTCTTTCTTTCTTTTTTAATTCATTTTAATGAAAGTTTACAGAACCTTAGAATTTCCAGTCATTCATTGTTAAACTTTTCTCCCTACCCACCCCCTCCCCCAATTCACTCTTCTCCTTAAAAAGAAAGAAAAACTCTTTCATTCTTATGCAATCATCCCCCCAAGTCCACTCCACTATGCAGCCTTCATTCTGGACTTCTGTCATGAAAATACCCATTCATATATCCCTTTTAAGCAGTTCTCTCCCTCATCTGTTTCAATGCAATATACATTCTTCCTCCCCTTCTTTTCTGTCTTCCCTCAACACTGATGTCAGTCCTGTTTTACAACAGTGGCCCTATGCAATATTTGTCCTTTTGTAACTGAGATATTTCACTCAGCTTAATGTCCTCCAGGGTCATCCATTTTGCATAATATTTCATGAGTTCCTTGTTTTTAAATGCTGCATAGTATTCCATTGTGTGAATATATCAGAGCTTCTCTATCCATTCATTTGTTGATGGGCATTTGGGTTGTTTCCAGCTCTTTGCTATTGCGAACAAAGCCACAATAAACATGGGTGTGCATATATCTGCTTGGGTGGCAGTTATGGTTTCTTTAGGGTAAATTCCCAGTAGTGGAATTGCTGGGTCAAATGGTAACTCTCTTTGCAACTTTTTGAGAAAGCACCATACAGCCTTCCATAGTGGGTGCACCATTTTACACTTCCACCAACAGTGAATAAGGGTTCCAGTTTCTCCACAACCTTGCCAGAATTTGATGTTTTCTGTTCTGCTAAATTTTGCTATTCTTACTGGGGTGAGAAGATATCTCATAGTTGTTTTGTCTATTTGTTCTTTTGGTAGTCCACGAGATGTTCAGTACTGTTCTCCAACACCACAGCTCAAAGGCATCAATTCTTCTTATGTCATCCTTATGCAATGTCCAGCTGTCAGATGCATAGCAAGTGGTCATAAAGACCATGGCCTGAATCAGACCCACCTTAGACTTCAAAATGACATCATTGCTCCTCAAGAATTTGGAGAAGTCCCTGACTGTTGGTACCAAGGTGATGATTGTGGCTCCAAGTAAGATGATATTTGTTGACTGAATATTTTGTTCATCCATCATGTTGCCTGCTGGTCCAGTAATAAGGATTTTTGTTTTCTTGATGTTGAGATGCAATCCATATTGAGGCTGTTTTCTTGATCTTCTGCAATAAGTGCTTCTAGTCCTCCTCACTTTCAGCGAGCACGGTTGCATCATCTACATAATGCAGGTTATAGATAAGTCTTCCTCTGATCTTGATGTAATATTCTTCATAGAGTCCAGTTTCACAGATAATTTGCTCAGCATACAGATTGAATGGGTATAGAGAAAGATACATTCCTGATACATTCCCGCCTTAATTTTAAACCATGTAGTGTTCCCTTGCTCTGTTCGCCTAACAGCCTCCAGGTCTAGGTCTAGGTTTTGCATGAGCACAATTAAGTGTTCTGGAATTCCCATTCTTCCCAATGTTAGCCATTAACTTGTTATAATCCACACAGTCATATGTCTTTAGATATAGACATTCTCTGTTATTCTTTACTTTCAGCCAGGATCCATCTGACATCAGCAGTGATACCCACAGTGCCAAAGTCTCTTCTAAATTCTGCTCTGGACTTTTCACAGTTCCTTATCTATGTACTGTTTCTAGGGGATTTAATACATACCATATAACTAAGTATTGCTTACTAAAACTATTTTTATTTTTTAATTATTATTATTGTGTGTGTGTGTGTGTGTGTGTGTGTGTGTGTACTGTTAAATCAGATCTGACTGGTTCAGAGATTGTCCCTCATTCTCCAGCAGAGCATCTGGCGGATTTGATAAAACTTTTTTTTAAAAGAAAGAAAATTTTTTAAAAAAAGTTTTAAAAAACTTTTAAAGGGAAAACTTTCTTCTAAAACTATAGAAGCTTGTGTACCTACATACTGACTTATTAAATAAAATGGGTTCATTACTTGAAAACCACTCCAACGGATGACCACCTATTTACATTCTGTTGTGTGCCATCGAGTTGGAACTGACCCATAGCTAACACTCCAGCAGGTTTTCGGAGGCTATAAATCAAACAGGAGGAGACTGCTCATCCTTCTATAGATTAGCTGACAAATTTGAACCTCATACCCTTGGGATTGCCATGCAATCCCTCTAGGCCACCAGAACTCCCTATTTGTTTAAAGAGCTCTTTCTAGTTTGCCTTCTAGAACTCTGTAAAGAAAGTTCTGTATTTTAAGTCAAAGACCTTGATCCAAGTCTCTGCCTTTTCAGTTGTCATTGTTTGGTGCCACTGAGTCGACCACAACTCATAAAGAGCTACCCAGTGAACAATAGATCTAAGCCCTGCCCTATCCTGCACCATCCTCACAATCTCTGATATGCTTGAGCCCATGGTTACAGCTGTATTGTCGATCTATCTCGTTGATGATCTTCCTCTGACCTTCCACCTTCTCAAGAATGATTTCTTCTTCTAAGGACTGGCTTCTCCTGAAAATATGCCCAAAGTATGTGAAACACAGTTTCACCACTGTTGCCTCTCAAGAGCAATCTGGTTGTACTTCCTCCAAGACTGACTTGTTTGTTCGTGTTTTTTAGAGGTTTTTTTGGGCAGTCCATAGGATATAAGTACTCTTCTCTAATACAATTCCAAAGCATCAGTTTTTCTTCTGTCACCCTTATTCACTGCCCAGCTTTCAGAGACATAGGAAGCAAGTGAAAGACAACAGCTTGGATCAGGTTCACCTTAGTCATTGAACTGACATCCTTGTTCTGTAATACTTTGGAGTAGTCCTCAACAGCAGATTTTCTCACATGTCTTTGATTTCTTGATTACTCTTATCATGGGTGTCGATTGTGGATCCAAGTAAAATTAAATCATTGATATCTTCTGTCTTTTCTCCATCTATCATGCTGTTGTGCCTGTTGGTCCAGTGGTGAGGATTTGTATTTTTTGGATGTTGAGATGTGATCCATATTGAAGACTATAGTCTCTGACCTTTTGTAACAAGTACTTCAAGTCTTCTCCACTTTCTGCAAATGAGGTTGTGTCATTTGCATACTGCAGATTGTTGGTGAGTCTTCTCTTAATATAGCCAACCTTCTTGAATGATTTGCTCAGCACACAGATTAGACAGGTATGGAGAAAAGATACAAGCCTGATGCACACCTTTCCTGATTTTAAACCATGCAGTGTTCTTGTTCTATTTAGAGAACTGCTTCCTGGTCTAGGTATAGGTTTTGCATGAGCACAATTAAGCATTTTGCTATTCCCATTCTTCTCAATGCTACACAGTCAAAGACCTTTGCAGAGTCCATAAAACACAAATAAACACTTTTTTTTTGTATTCTCTGTTTTCAGTCAAGATCCAACTTGTTATCTTTGTCTGAACTTGTTTCTCCATTTGTGCAACAATCACAGTAGAGCAATCTAAGACTAAAGGTCCTTCCAGTTTCCTTAACTTTTTGCTCTAAGAACATTTACTTATTCATCAGATATTGCTTGAGCAGTGCCTTCTGTGTGCCAGATCCTACTATACTCCTAGGTGTGAGATACCAGAGTGAACAAAACAAGTCCCTGCTCCTTATGGAACTTACAGTCTAGTGAGTAAAAATAGAGAAATATAGACAGCAAAAAGTGCTAAGAAGAAAAGATACAGAGGAGAGGGAGATGAACAATCAAAGAGAGGCTTGATATTTTAGATACCGTGAGTGGCCTGGACATTGTCAAAGAGAAGGTGGCTTTTGAGAAAAGAGTGATGGAAATTAGGGGCATGAGACAAGTGTATACGAAGAGCATTTGAAGGGGAAGAAATAGCAAATGCAAAGGCCTTCCAATAGTTGGGGGCATGCTAGCAAGTTCCCCAAACAGTAGGGAGGCCAGTGCTGGAGGAGTGTTGGCCAAGGAGACAACAGTAGAAGTAAGAGAGGTAGCAAGGGGTCTAAGTAGCAAGGGGTCTAACTGGCAGGATTAGATATGGGATGAATTATTTAACTTTACAACCCTTTCCAGTTCTCTAGAACTTCTTTAAATCCCTTTTGAAAACCATGGTTAATAATACCTGTTTGCACACTGTTATGGGGATCAAGTGAGATGAATATGCTCTCAAAACTATTAGATCCATAAAAATATTAATGACTACTAAGTATTAAGGGGATCTTTGGTAGCCTAGTGGCAAAAAGCTGCACTGCAATCCTAGAGGCGTGAGGTTCAAATCCACTAGCTGCTGCTCCATGGCAGAAGGATGAGCAATCTCCTCCCGGGGGAATTAATTGCCTCTGAAACTCTGCTGGAGGGGTCAGCTATTGGTTGATTCTAACTCAATGGTACACAACCACCACACTATTATCATTAAATAGTATTTTGTGGATTAATATAAACGGAGCAAGTTGACACCGTGGGAATGCCAGCTTTCTCTCCCAGGCCCCCACTGCTCCCTGTCACCTTGAAGAACATAATCTTTCAGACAGATACAGCAGATCTCCCAGGAGAGTCTCTGTCTTATTGCCATTAAGTCAAAACCAATTCAGATCCTCCTTTGGGTTTCCTAGGCTGGACATCGCACAGGAGGACCGGCCATCTTTCTCCCAGGGAGCCACTGGTAGATTCGAACCAGCAGAGAGACAGACAGCCTTTAAGTGAGCAGCATAACTCGCTACACATTAGGCCATCCTTAATGTCAGCAGTCTAAGTGCTTGCTTTTTTTTTTAATTTATTTAGAAATTCCATCACCCAAATTTAAGTAGTCTTCATCGGGAGAACTTCATCTGGAATCTGAAGAATGTTCCTCTTCTGGAGAAATACCTGTATGCTCTGGACCAGGATCAAAATCGCGAGATTATTGAACAGATTATTCAGCAGTTCAGGGATGAAGTAATGACCAAACTAGATCATTTTAGAGAATGTGAGTATTTCCTCAACCAAATAAATCTCTTTCTTTGTACTAAATTGTAAATTTCCCCATCATTAGTAAAGCATTGAAGGTACACCTTAGGGTCATCAAATTGTCAGAAATTTCCCATATTTGTTTCTGTTATTTTAAAAAGAGTATTTTCCTGAAAATTGATACATATGAATGCCCCTCACCCCCATCCTCTATGTTAGGAGCTCTGGTGGCTTAGTATACTGCATGTTGCACTGCTAGCCGAAAAGTTGGTGGTTTGAGTCCACCAGTGTCTCCATGAGAAAGGCAGGCAGGCTCCTTCTGTTAAGATTTACAGCCTCAGAAGCCCAGTGAAGGGCGGCCATGACAGAGTCAACTCAAGAGCAGCAGGCTTTGTTTTGGTATATGTTACATGATTCTCTCTCTTCTCCCTACTGAATCTGCATCTTTTAAAAAAAAAAATTACAATTTCTCTGCTTTTGCCCATATATTTTTAAAATAAGCCTATATGTCAAACTCTAAAAATTATTGTTTTGGACCTCAGACACATAGCATTAATTGAACAGCTATGGCTGAGAAAGATAAATGAACGGGAGTGTTATGTAACTGTGTTTTGTTTTGTTTTTTTCATTTTTTATTTATTTATTTATTTTTTTTATTTTTGTGTGAGTGTACTGTCAAATCAGATCTGACTGGTACAGGAGGAGATTGTTCCTCCTTTTCCTGGCAGAGCATCTGGTGGATTTGAACCATGTGCCTTTGGGATTGTAGTTGCAGCTCCTTGCCACTAGTATGTAACTGTTTTTACATGACTTGGATTTTTTGCTTTCAGGTATCAATCATGGAGACCTGAATGACCATAACATTTTAATAGAGCCCAGCAGTTCAGCCTCTGGAGATGCTGGCTATCAAGTGTCTGGGATTTTAGACTTTGATGACATGAGCTACGGCTACTATGTGTTTGAAGTGGCAATCACCATCATGTACATGATGATTGAAAGTGAGACACCCATACAAGTGGGAGGCCATGTGCTTGCGGGCTTTGAAAGTGTAATCCCACTGACAGCTGTTGAGAAAAGTGCTTTGTTCCTACTCGTGTGCAGTCGTTTTTGTCAGTCACTTGTCATGGCTGCACACTCTTGCCAGTTACACCCTGAGAACAAAGAATACCTGATGATTACTGCAAAAACTGGGTGGAGGCACTTACAGCAAATGTTTGACATGGGCCAGAAGGCTGTAGAAGAAATCTGGTTTGAGACAGCAAAGTCCTATGGATCTGGGGTCTCCATGTGACCAGTTCACATTAAGGCTGGTCATTACCAAATAGGATCAAATCTAATTCTGTGAAAGATGCCTATACAAGCAACAAGACATTGATCAATTCTGAATGACTAAGCAATGAACCACTCCAGTCTCAGGACCAAAACGTTAAAGAACTACATAAGCAAGGAAGTCTTTCTGTGTGTCTCACTTGCCTTATGTATAAAATATGTCTATTGATATGGCTTTGAATCGGGTTAAGTCTTAAGGTTTAAGACTAACTCTGAAATTAATGACTTTTTTAAACTTTGGGAAGAATACACAAACAGGTATTTTAAAGGGACCTACTACCATATCACCAGCACTGTGAAGTCTTCTCTAATCTCCCCTTTTGCTCAAATACAACTGCACTTTGTCCTTGTCATTGCACATTATTTTACATAATGGTTTTTTAGAAATAACGAAATGATAGAATATTAGGATTATATAAATAAACAAGATGACTGCATATTAGAAAGAAGACTAGAGATAATAGGGTATATACTAAGACATCTTAGTGGGAACTTGGATGTCTTTCTATGAAATTTATAAAAGAAAAATAATTTCACTTGCTTGAGAAGATAACTGAAACTGGAAGTCCAAACAGAGGGTGCCAGAGGTAGATGCAACAAGGCCACATTCGGAACTACAAAGCACAATTTCCATGCAAAGGCACTAAATCCTGAAAGACAATGATTAGTTTTAAGACTGGATACCAAGAAAGTCCCTAAGTAGATTTTGTTAAACTTTAAAAATATAACTTGTGTATGAATATGTAGCAGATTTAGTATTTCCTTCACTGACTACTTATCCTGTCTCCCTAAGTATAGGTTAGTAATGGCTGTTATTCTTTTGGTTTTAACTATCCATTCCCAACATATGACTCAACAACTCTGTCCACTGACACACTCTTGGCAGCAGCTCTTACATTATCTATGAAAAGGCCTTGGTAATCTCTGTCTCTCTCTCTAACCATACTCCCAACTAAGTCTCTTCATTTCATTGTTTCTTTTAGTAGTATAATTTTCAACTTCTTTATGTCTCAATTTCATTAGCTGTAAACTCAGTAATATCCATTTCAGAGAGTTACTTGTAAAGACTACATAAGATAATGTGGTATGTTTAGCACACTGCTTGGTATGTAATAGAGACTCAACATTTACTTAAATATTACTCAATAAATGAATCATATAACCAGTCACCTAAACTCAAAATACTAGAATAATTTTTTTTTTGTCCCTCTCAAGCTTATTCAGTGAGTCCTGTTGATTCTTCAACTCATACAATTTTAGGTTCTAAAGTTCATAGAATGATAGAAGTTTAGATAATAATTCCTGCCAACATTAAATTTCTAACATTATTGTTGTTGTATGTTGTTGTGTCTGAACTGACTCATAATTGACCCTCCAGTGGGTTTTCAGAGGCAGTTTAATCACTTGGGAGGAGGATGACCATCTTTCTCCTGCAGAGTAGCTAGTGGATTTGAACTGCACACCTTTGGGATTATAGTGTAGTTTCTTACCACTAGGCTGCAAAAGTTCCCTAAATTCCCAATACTGTACAATAAATGCCAACTTTTTAAAAATTTTTTTATTATTTTTGTGTGAGTGTGCCATCAAATCAGATCTGACTGATACAGGAGGAGATTGTCCCTCCTTCCTCGGCAGAGCATCTGGTGGATTCCAACCGTGCGCCTCTGAGACTGTAGTTGCAGCTCCTTGCCAGTAGGCCACCAGAGCTCCCCTTAAATCCCAACTTTTACTAAGTACCAAGTACTTGACATGCATTATCTCGAATTAAACTCGTGAGATAAATACCATTATAATTGATCCCCATTTCCAGATGAGCAAATAAAGGTTTTATACTTGGGGTGGGAGTGGGGATGTGCGGGGTGGGGGGCAGGGATTATGTACCAATGAAGGAGTTTTTCTTTTGCTTTTCAAGGAGAGGAGCGAAGTGGGGGTGGGGGTGGGGGTGAAGGGGTGGGGAGAAAAGTGCAACAATGAATGAATGGAATTCCAAAATCTCTGTAGATGTTCATTGAAATTAATAATAATAATAATTTTTTAAAAAATGGAAGTCATTTGCTTAAAGAGAGTGTTTCTGACAGAGACCATCCTCACATCCTCACAACCACTACAAAGCCCTATACTGCTTCTTCTCCACATCCTCCCCCCCCCGCCCCGAAAACACTTCCACACACCTCTACCTCTATTAGAAGAAACAAATTAGTCCATATAAAAACACTTCAACTCTTTAAATGTAAAGGATTTTAGTTTTTATCTAGCTTGACCAGGAAATTGAGGATCAGAAAAATGGACCAAAATGTTTCATTCTCAGACCAGTTTTTTCTCTTAGATAATGAAACTCTACAGAATTCTTCTTTCATTGTTCCTGCTAACATGAATTTCCCTTCACCAGATTCGTATTGCAAATATAATCTACCACTCTCTTTATATTTAAATATATGCTGCCTTATATTAATATTTTACTGTTTGGTGTTTGTTCTAGCTTATCTCCAACAAATCAGTTCTATGTTATTAAAAAACCCTTTTGAATATTGATTATATCATTTTCAGGAGTTAACACTGTGCACCTTCAATAAACATCTTTTGAATAGACTGAAAAATCTTTTAAGTACCAGTGCCCATAGCACCTCTCATAATGGTCTCCGGGTTCTGGTGTTACAGCGTGCTGTCTCCTGGATCTAGGATGTCTTGGTGGTAGGGAGGTCCCCCCTTAACTGCCTCTGGGAATGTCCATTTTAAGGCTAGTAGAATGGCAAAGCTAACCAATCCCCTCTGTACAGTTCCCTACATCCCACATCCACAATCCTCCCATTCATCTTATTTGCATTATTGGCAACCTGTTCTAGGGAGTTCTGGTGGTGTGTAGTCGGCAGGGAGTTACCCAGAGACTTTGTCTTTGCACGTTTCAATCCACCAGTGACTCTGCAGTATTAAGATGGACAGTCTCCTTGTGTGTGATGTACAACCTCAGAAACTCAGAAGAGGACTAGCTATTATCAGATAGAAGTGGAGTCAATTTTGACTCCACAGCAATGAGCTTTTGAGGGAAGCTGTCTAATCCCTTTGGTGGGACACAAGCACCCTATCTGCATAATCCTACCCAGTCACCTGGTGAGAGTTATAACCAGGGCTGGAAAGTTCATTTAAAAGTGATCCTCTGTTCTGCACCACCTCAGAAGTTAGATCCATTGTCATCACAGACCTACCAAGTCTCAGGTTAACAAGACACAGAACACACCTCTCAATGGGAGGAACATGTGAGAGATTAGATCTTGAGACCATCTTGGAAAATACAATCTACCTCATCATCCTAAAAACGTGACTTTAATCCTGTCTTCCCATTACCTCTGTGTGTTTGTCTGTGTGTATAATCTTGTACTGAAGACATTCTACAATTTGGCCTTAAGTTTCTTTCTTCTTTTACTTTCTATGCTTCATGTCTGTCTAAAATACTCTCACCCGAATTTGTGAGACTGATTCTTATCTCCTCAACTAATTTCTTTTGATCTAAGAATATTTCTCACTTCTAACACATTAACATTTGCCAAATTATAAAGAATGCATCATTAACAACGACTCTCCAAAACTCAAAAATAAACTCACTGGGTGGAGTTGGTTCTGACTCTCAGTGAGCCTCCATTCTTCCAGGCTGTTAATCACCAAGAGAAGAGACTGCCCGTGTTTCTCCTGTGGAGCTTCTGGTGGGTTTGAACCTCCGGAGATGCCTGGGCTTTGGGTTAGCAGCACAGCTTGCTACAGACTATGCCACCAGAGCTCCAGTAAGGGTCCTCAGGATGCCACTAATGACAACATGCCTATCTCTCCTCTCTGGTATAGGGGCCCTGGGTGCCCTGTACATGACCTATCAGGCTGCTAGCCCAAAGACTGGCAGAATCATCCAGCTGCTCTATGGGAGAAAGATGGGCAAATTCCTAAAAGGAAAAAAAAAAAGATTTACAGCCTGGACAATCAGACATTGTATGTATTGCAATTAACTATGTGGAATGGAATATATGGCTGATTGAAAGAAAAAAGAAGCCTAAAAAAAAAGTTTACATACAGAAGCAATCATGGAGGATTGACAAGGAGGCAAGGAGAGGGGAGCAGAGACTGGCAGATGGGTGAGTAGAATGAAGGGAAAGGCAGGGTACAGTGAGGATTTGATGAGATGTTTTAATAAATGGCATTGACCAATTGTAATTAATGTTAGAAAACAAAATATATGTGAATGATTGAATGAAAACCAATTAAAAAATATTTACAGCCTGGGAACCTGATTGAGGGCTGCTGTGAGTTGGAAGCAGTTTGATGGAGGTGGGACTGGGTTTCTGGGTTGTCAGAGTGTGACGCTGACTCTCTACCTTGGCTTACCTCCCAGTAGGCTCTGAAAACAGACAGCGTAAGCAGAACATAAAAGGATAACTCATTCCCATTCCAGTTCCCATTATCATTTTCCAAAGAGATGGAGAAAGTAATCAACTGTGAGAATGGAAGGGAAAGAGACCCAGATAATCAAAGTGATGCAGAGGAAGGAAAACCAAGTAGGAGGCCTTACACGTCCTGATCTCAAAACACAGCCTCCGTAATCAAACAGCATGATTACTATGCACAGTGACAAGTACACAGACCAATGGAATAGAAATGAAAACCCAGAAATAAGTCCATCCCCCTATGGACAACTGATCTTTAACAAAGAGATGAAATCCAACAAGTAAGGAAAAGATAGCCTCTTTAACAAATGGTGCTGGCAAAACTGGATACCTGTTTGCAGAAAGTTGATACAAAACCCACTGTTGTTTTTGTTGTTGTTATGTGCCATCGAGTCAGAACCTATCCACAACTGACCCTCCAGTGGATTTCCACAGGCAGTTAACTGCACAGGAGGAAACTGCCCATCCTTCTCCCACACAGCAGGTGGTGGATTAGAACTACATGCTTTCAGGATTGCAGCACAGTTTCTTACCA